ATTAGCAATATATATTAGCAATATAAAAAAAATGAATATTTATATATATATTTAAGAAAAATATATATATTGAGTATATGAATTATTGAGTATATGAATTATTGTATTATTTTTCATTGGCTACAGGATTTTTTCCCCCCCAATGATTAACCAAATTAACCCAGTTAATGGCACTTTAAGCTGAATACTAGTATTATTTAAAAATAATGAGTATACGTAATATGTACTGTCAGCAATGCAAAAAATAAAATAGTTATTAGAAGTTAGTTATAAAAAACATTGTTTAATGTTTAAATCTGCTAAATAGCACTTGTATGTTTCTGTTTTTAAGTTAATTATATATATATATATATATATATATATATATATATATATATGTATGAGCAATATCACACGAGTAGCAGTACGATATGGCTGTATATCGGCACTAGAGAGAGGTGTGCTTTGGCACGAGGCCGCAAGCCGAGTGCCTTAGTTCCCTAGTGCCCTCACCAGTGAAGATATACAGCCATATCGCACTGCTACGAGTGTGATATTGCGTTTATACAACAGTTCGACGGCATAATTGTGTATATAAAAATAAAATCAAACACGAAGAGTCTCAAAAACCCTTTTGTATGAGGAACTACTTTCTTCCGCGTTGGATTCAAATCATAAGCTGACAGTTAAACAGCTGAGCAAGAATCTTTTACACTAGATCTGTAGTGTCTGCTTTCTGCTGGCTGTATGTGGGTGGAGTAATATACAAAGGGTAAAGAGGCTGTACGAGTGCTGATATTACTTAAATATACCACGGCTATCAGCCAATCAGATTCGAGAACCAGACAGAACTGTTGTGTATCTATCTATCTATCTATCTATCTATCTATCTATCTATCTATCTATCTATCTATATATATATATATATATATATATATATATATATATATATATATATATATATATATATATATATATATATATATTCATTGTTCACTGTATTATTGATTCACAAAACAGCACTTTGAAATGTTTGGATAATTTCACATGCGGGTGAATAATCTTGACCTAAATTTTTGATTAAAATAAATGTTTGCCTTCAAATGTACTTTGTATTCACTTTACAATGTTAACACCTTACAATAAGGTTGTATTAGCTAATGTCAGGTAATGTATTTGCCAACATGAACAAACAATAATTCACAATAATTATTATTTCAAAGTAGCTTTTTAAGAGGTGCACATTATTGGATTGCAAATGAAGTCAGAGAAGTTGAGGTTATTAGTTACTAACAACTTTAACTAATGACTAGGGCCAGATGGAATCTGCGGACAATTTTTTGCTATTTCTGTGCAGAATTGTTTTTGAAATTGGTGGATTTATGCGGAATGATTTTGGGAGAATCATATCTAAAACATTAATATATTAAATGAAAATAAATAACTTTTTAACTTTTATTTAATGTTTACAATGCAAATCCATTATGGATTTAAATATTTATTTACTTGTTTACATTAATGAAAACTGTATTGTTCATTATTAATGCATGTTAGTAAATATGTTAACTAATGAAACCTTACTGTAAAGTGTGACCAGTTGTTTAACTTGCCGAATTAACCAAATTGATCATCTTTAGTCTAGTGAGCTCAATGAGATGTTTTCTATTGAACTGAAGTCTTTATGCACATTTAACTCTCTGTCCGCTTCTGATTGACAGCTGTCTGAATTTTGCGCACAGGCTGCAGGTGTTCCCTAAACGCCAGTGTGTGTAAAGTGACCTATGGGTGTGTGTGTGTGTGTGTGTCTGTGTGTGTGTGTGTTTTGTAGTACTATGTGTCCTGCAGCATTTCCATCAGGCCAGCAATGGGAGGAACATGTCACTACAAGCTACTCAATCTACTCCTGTCACAGAAATCAATACTGCCTCACACACAAACACACACACACACACACACACACACGTCCAGGAGAACATCTCAGTTGTTCTACAGACACTCTAAGATATAAAGACGTCTACAGAAAAACAACACAAACAGTAAAAACATCCTGAAAAAAAGTAAATCTTGACCCACTAGGCGCACACACACACACACACACACACACAAACAAAGACAGAAGTTCTGGCATATAACGCACATGTTCAAAGCTGAATATCTGACTTCAGCATTGTTCTTCAGATAAACAAGTATGTTCACTGAGTATGTTTCTGACATATCTGCAAACATATTTTGGTATTGCTTTAGAAGAGTCAGAAACTTACATACAGCACCTTTAAACAAGACTAGAATGAGGGCTATAGTTAAAAACATTTTAGAATCATGTTTATTTAGTTTTTGACTTTACCTTTGCAGACATGCACTCAAAAATGGGCATAACCGCAAATAGGTTAAAACACAAGCACAAGACCTCACCATTTTCACTGAATCGTGCTTTTGTCGTCCTCACAGAACTGCCATTGTTGTGTAAATCACTTCGGAAATGAATTAAAAGTTTTCCAAGTGTGTCATGATACACTTGAGTTTTTCCTCTGCAGTGTAATGTGTGTGTGGACGGATTCATCCATTATGAATGTCTAGAAGCAACACTGTCACCTGGACTGAGAAACTCAAACAGCGTCAGTCTGGAGTGTGTGTGAGGATGTGTGTGTGCACAATGACAGTCTTTCCTCCTTCAGGAAAAACATCCTATCTCACTTTTACAAGAAGCTGATTTTGCCCTGTTAATAAGAGGTTTTTATGACATGCACATTTTACAATATCCCCGCAGTTAACAAGGACATTTGTGCTTCTCTGTGCATGTGTGTGTGTGTGTGTGTGACTGTAAACCAGTGATGTGCGAGTTTGACATTGTGAAGGGCAGAGTGAGAATTGGGTAACATCCAGTTTGGAATATTCAATCTCTTTGGGTTTATTAAACACAAACACTCATATATGCGTCTCTCTGCTGCTTCGGCTCGCAAACATGTCATGAAAGATGCATAATGTGCACATCTGTTGTCAGAGATCTATTATTGCTTTCACTAATATTTGCTATCGCTATTCTACCAAAGCTGTTTTGTGTAATAATATTTCAGGCAATACTTTATAAATAAGATAAAAATAATTGCATAATTCTGCATAATTATTGGCCATTAGTATTTATTTATTACATGTATTTTAATATTGTGTCATAAAGGTAAACAAATAAACTTAATAGTGATCATTTAAAATCAGTGTTATTTTTTAAGATTTATTTTTTACCTTTATTAAGAGGATAGGACAGTATTTTAGACAGGAAATGAAGTGGGAGAGAGAGAGGGGGTAGGGATGGGAAATGTCCTCGAGCCGGGATTCAAACTCGGGACGCCCTGAAGTGCTTCTGCACCATATGTCAGCGCGCTAACCACTAGGATATTGCGATGACAACCAGTATTATTTTAATAACACTGAAACTAATTTGGTTTGTAGTTAATAATTTCAATGATTTTGTTTTGTGTCGCCTCATAGCGAGAAGGTCGCTGGTTCAAGTCCCGGCTGGGCCAATTGGCATTTCTGTGTGGAGTTTGCATGTTCGGAGGTTTCCTCCACAGTCCAAACACATGCGCTATAGGGAAATTGGATAAACTAATTTCGCTGTAGTGAATGTACATGATTGAGTGTGTGTATGGATGTTTCCCAGTACTGGGTTTCAGCTGGAAGGGCTTCCGCTGTTTAAAACATTCCACTGTGGCGACCCCTGATAAATAAGTCAAAGAAGAATAAATGAACAAATGAATGTAATTTAAGTTTATATTTACACCGTGTCTCCAAGCAAAATTAATTCTGTCAGAATTTCTTTAATTAAACTTTAATTATATTTTTGTAATAAGATGGCAAATATATGAAATTATATGATATGTATATGTTTTCCACCTCACATGACTTTATATCACCACTTTACCTTGTTAAACAATGATATTGACAGAACGCTTCAATTTTATTACTTGCAAACTAAATTAGCACACAGAAATAAAGCAACGTTTACATATCGGAGCCATTAATTGCCAGACTCATGTGCAATCTGTCGGACAGTGCGATGGGTGCGTGATGCGTCTTCATTGGTCAGTATGGACCACGACCACTCCCCGCCACACAACATACTGATCCAGTGCGATCAATTTTTGCCACTAAATAATCCAATCCACCTTTGGCCAGGGTGTCCGCGGGGTCTTAAAAAGTCTTAAAATGTAAATCATTTTAGATGGGCCTTAATTTTCCTTTGTTTATGTGAAGCTACCCAATCGATTCAGCACATATGCAATCACCAACAACACATTTCAATAAACGTTTATCATAACTCAATACTGTAATATTGTAAAGCTGTTGTGCATACATTTAGTTTACTAAATAGTTGTGTTGAAAAATCTTGTATGTATAAAACTACTGTCCGCTTATTTTGACATGCTATTTTAAAAATGTGGCTAGGAAATAACTCATTATAATTACTCTTTTGATAGGAAAAGTAGAAAAAAATTATGCTGCGCCAGTAAAAATACTTAACAAGTAGCCCTATAAAAATCCGAAATGTCATTCTTCGTGGTCTTAAAAAGGTCTTGAAAAGTCTTAAATTTGGTTGAAACCTGTAGAAACCCTGTTTGTCCAGTTTTTAGTAAGAAATTCACAAAGAAAACTTAAAGCACTAGCCTTTCAGTTCTCGCAAACCTGATCAAACTCTCATCTTCATTCGAAGGTCTTCTTTTTGTATCACATATTATTGCTTATTTTGTCTTGGAAACATTGCATAAATATCCACATTAGTTTAGACCCAGGGCTGCTCAACCCTGCTCCTGGAGATCAGGTCCTAATCAATTGGTTCAGGTGTGTTTGATCAGGGTTGGAGCTGAACTTGGAAGGTTGCTCTCCAGGAACAGGGTTGAGCAGCCCAGGTTTAGACTTTTTTTCTGCTTTTCATTTTAAATGTAGTTCAACGTGTGTAGTTTTGTCAATTTTATATATATTTTTGAATTTTTATTATTTAATGTGTTCTTTTTTCTTTTTTAGTTTTCGTTTTAGCATTTTAGCGATAATTAAACTAAAATAAGCCGTTTTACCTTAAGAATAAATTTGTTTAAAGTAATTCAGTGTTTTTTTTTTATGTTAATGACTCTAGCACTCTTCAGAATTAATTTCAATTCTGCATTTCAGGTATCGGACTCTTAACATCAGCATAAGAGGATTTCTACACTCTTGAAAGGTAAGCAATAGTAATATCAGCCTGGTTCATTTATATAAACTAATTACTACAGTTTTCAATTAACGGGTAAAAAAAGAAATGATCTGGTTCTCAATTACTTGTCGCTAATGTCCACTGTGGCATATTTCATTCCCTAACATGTTTTAATAAAGCCACATGTAGGCACATACTGCTGTTTATTAAGTTTTCCCATAATTAAGATATACTAATTAGTCTGTTATGTGTGTTGCAATCCATGTGTCCCAGTTCAGTTTTATACTTCCACCTTAATTGAGATTAATGTTTACACAGCACATAATGTCCTTCCTGTCACAGTCTGGGTTTCCCCTGCATGTTGAATATGACTGTGACAGATATTCATGAGGTCTTGGATGTGTTGCCTGGATTACAGTTTTGGAGCTGAATAGCCCAGACAGATGGTTTTTAGCTCATTTAGTATGAGATGTGTCTGAAACGGACAGTCAGGAATCGTGTGTATTGACTTATTAAACAGAGGAGTCATTTATTGATTCAATACAACCAATTCATGAACAAATCACTTTGGGGAACCAGATCATAGTGCATTCAAAACTTGCAACCTGAAGAATATGATTTAAAGAATCTATATTTAAAATTATTTCATAAAAACCATATAGTATATGATCAGCAACTGCCATTTTTATAATGACATCAAGGCATTTAGTGCATTTGCATTAATAAAAAATTTGAAATTAATAAACTTATTGCTAAAAATATGAGAAATTTTCCATGTACACGTGAATTATGCAAAACAAAATTGTATAATTAGATGATATAAAATATACACATTTGTGTTTAGTTGATTACAATTCAATGTAAATTAAGTATATATTTCCTTTCTTGGAAATATATAAAAAAGAATCTAAAAATTATCCATGTTTACCCCACTGAAATGAATGTATTCAAAAAACAATAAACAATTTAATAAATCAGTCACATTTTTTTTCTTCATATAAAATTATCAAAAACAAATCTGTCTATCTATCTTATCTTTTAATTTGTAATTTTATTTATTTATAGTTAATTAATTTTTTTAAATCGTTAAATTTTTTGGTTTATTTTTTTTGTTTTATTATTTTTATTTATTTTTTGTTCGTTTAATATTTTTTAATTTTTGTGTAATTTATTTTTTACTTTTTTATTAAATTTATTTTTTGTTTGTTTAATTTTTTATTTAACTTTTTGTTTGTTTAATTTTAAAAAATTTTGTAGATTTTTTTATTTAACTTTGTTTATGTTTTGTTTGTTTAATTTTATTTGTTTAGTTAAATTTTTTGTTTAATCTTTAATTTTTTGTTTAATTTTTTTATTGAACTGTTTTATTTTTTGTTTGTTTAATTTTCTATTTTTTTGTTTATTTTTTATTTAACTGTGTTTATTTTTTGTTTGTTTAATTTTTAATTGTTTTGGTAAGTTTTTGTTTGATCATTAATTTTTGTTTATTTTTTATTGAACTGTTTATTTTATGTTTGTTTAATTTTCTTTTTTTGTTTAATTTTTTAAACTTTGTTTTATTTATTTTTTATTTGTTTAATTTTAATTTGTTTGTTAATTTTTTTTATTTAAATTTATTTAACTTTTGTTAGTTTATTATTATTTTTCATTTGTTTATTTTATTTGTAATTTTTATTTTTGTTGTTTTATTTTCTTACTAAAACTGCATTTAAGGTTTCCTGGTTAAAGCATTGCTGAGTGTGTTATAAGATCTGTCTAAAAAAGATTGAATAATTCAGTGGCATACCACTTGTGTAGTATAAGATGTCTTGGTAAATCTGAGTGCAATTTCTCAGGCTTGTTGAGAATTATCATAATCCTGTAAATAGCAAAGCTCTCCATTTCAATGCCACATAGCAGAACCAGCCGAGATATTGAAGTGATCTCATTAGTGATTTTTTTTCCTTCCTATTGAAACGCGTCAACCAGGAATGTGTTGAGAAATGTTGCATGATTTTCTTCAGTGTTTTGGCGAAGGTGTGGAATGTGATATGGGGAATGCAGGGCTCTTGTTAATGTCAGCGCTGAAGTGTTTTTACTGGAGCTGAAACATGCGGTTGGCTGAACTCTTGCAGCCGCGGGACATTAAAGGGACGCCGCTCTGCTGTTTTCTTTCAGGTAGTGGTGCTGTTTTGTGTAAACATGGTTTCAAAGCGCCTTGCAATTCGAAGCTTTGGTGGAGAAGGAACGTTCTAGGTTCAATGCAACTTTCGGTCATGCTCGTTTCCACAGAAAATGATTTCTAAAAACAAAGAATTTCTTCACAGCCGTCTCGTCACTAAAAGGATCATTTAGACAATTTTCAAATAACACAATTACTGTAAGTGCTTAAAACAAAATAGACTTTTTGCTTTTAAACTAAACTCATCTAAATGCATTTCATCTGTGTTTTCCGTAAAACTGAGTGACAAGTCGAAGTCATTTTCTGTGGTAATCAACTTTCCTTTTTGAACCCGTAAATGAAGTTGCATGAAAGAGCTGTGGTAAGTTCTGCAGTTCTTGCATGTAATGCGGGTAAATCTTCCTTTTCACAGAGCTCAACGTGGCTGTTTGGATAAATCTGGATGGGATATTAAAGCGCAGTTTAAAATTCTGTACATTAATCTCTCTTTCAGCGCTGATGTAAGCAACCCGCGCTGTGGGGATAAATATAATCTAATAACGCAGTGGCTTTTGCAGTCATTCAAATGAAACCAATTAAAAAGCCTGCGTCTGCGCAGATTGTGGAGTGTGTGAGCTTTCCCGGAGTGTGAGTTTACACAAGGTTTACATGCGAGCGCTCCCATCTAACAGATCACAAGCGTCTGTTTCTCTTTTAGTCTCTCTTTGGGACTGGGAGATTTAGGATTCGTTTAGGAAGATGTTTGAACCTTGAATGAATGGCTGTAAATGATCTGATGCATGCACAAATACAATGGAAACGCGTCAGCCACACTGTAAAAATATCCGTTAATTAGCAGTTTTCTGTATTTTATGAAATTTTTTATAGATTTTTCTCTGTTTATTTCTGCTTCTGAATTCCATTATTGGATCTTGATCTTCCTTCTAACTACTTTTAACCTTGAAGTTTCCCAAAGTGACTTTTATGAAGATGTATAATAGTTTGCAGTGATATATTGTTTAGGTTGGTGTTGTATATTACTCTACAAATATCCTGTAATACACTGCCAGCACATTTTATCTTATTCTACAGACTTATTTCTCTCTATATTATTATTTCTTATACATTAAATTATATTAAACTATTAAAATGTCAATTAAAGACATTAGACTGTAGAGTTGAATCCATCAAAAGTCAGAGCAGAGATAAAAAATCCCATAATGCAATTCACAACCGAATTAACGGTAAATTTACAGATTTTCTTTTACGTTGCAGTGCAAAAATTACTATTAAATTAATTAAAATGTATGTTGTGCAGAAGAGGTGTATTAAATTAGGCATAGCTCTTAGTAAGGGAATAATACTTTGCTTTTATAACCTTCAAATTTCACAATTAAATATATATATATGTTTGCTTTCAAGAGACATGACAAAGTAATACATTTTGTGTTTTGAGTGTGCAACATACATATAAAGTGTATAGAAATAAATCTGTAAAATAACAAAACATGTAAGGGCACCATTGCAGGCTATATGCCTTTTAAACTAATGAAATGCTAAAAATGATACTATAATTAATCATATGAATTAAGTATTAGTCAGTTTTGTTAATTATTTCATCACCAAAAGTCAACCCATGCTCATTCTGAAAATCTACCCCTATATACATTTCTGAGGAGTGCGAAAACTGTCCCAGAAGGTAAATTTTTGTTGCAGTTTTTGTTTCAATAACTCAAAGGCATATGTGTATGTTTTTTAAGATCTCAAATTTCTCTTGTGAGTACCATTAACGTCTGCTGTTCTCACGTAAATCCACCAGAGGCCGCTGTCGACCAACTGACTGGCCGATCGACTGACCCACCCTCCTCCTTTCCTAAACCCAACCAATAGTGTTGTCAAAAGCAATCCAGAAAAAAAAGCCCTCGCCTGATAACCACATGTTCAAATTGACCCTGTTATTTACTTGTTTATTTTTATTTTTGGCTTCTGTTTTTGTCTTACCCGCTTTCTGGGTATTCACCAGACTCAAACTCCTTTCTGCGTCTCAGGACCGCTGACATACATGGCGATCCAATGGACAAGCTGATAACAGCCGAAAAGCCGTCCATACGGAGGTAATCGGTACCTCACATACGTACCTCTGGCTACATAATTCATGATCTCCAGAAATGTAAATAGGGCTGCCTTTTCAGTATGAGCCTATGTTGACAAAAGTTGTTGCCAAACAGAAACACCAGTGGATCACATGCAGTCAACTTTTAATTAACATAATTGTTTTAGCAGTGTATGTTTAGGTGTCAGAATGTTTTGTACAAAGTCATATATTTTGATTTCTTCCTTATATCTTGCACACTTTTGGGACTAAGCGTGCATATATTTATTTCAGCATGAAAAAACAATAACTTTAATCTCTTTAAATCTCAGAATTGAAAAATAGTTTTCAGGTTTTTAATGCATTATGAAAGTGAAACACAGCAATCTCAGTTTGCTCTGTTTTTGTCCTAATAAATTGTCATTAAAACTGTCAGTGCTCTATTTCTCATGTGACATCACACTTAATTTCCAATCTCATTAGTTCAATAGAATTTTCAAGTTCAATCCAGACCAATAACTCGCTGCATTTACTCCTAAAAGAAAGCTTTTTGTGCATTTGTTTTTAGAAACTAATAAATTCTTTCATGAATGGATGGTTTTTCCATCCCTGCTTTTACTCAGAAGGGAGGCTTTGTCAGCTTTAGCTCACTTTCGAGTCTATATTCGTCCCCGAGGTACAACAAAGTCAACACAAACATGTGAGCATAATGGTTTGTGTTGCTTAGATTAATGTTAATACAGACCGCGTCCTGTGAGAAACTTTATATTGTCTCGAACCCTCAGAGGTATTTAA